AGTAAAATATTAAAATCAGCTTAGTATATCATGAGATATAAGTATTTTAGTCTTCACAACTATATGCTTTTTTTTTTATTTATAACAATAATAAATTTATAATTTGGCTTAAAAAAAATTCTTAATTTTGACCGGAATTTAATAATTTTGGCCAGAATTACACTTGATACTTTGGCTGACCCACCCACCCACTCAAAAATCAGCTGATTTCTGGAAGCTCCCTTATTAGCTTGATTAAGCAATATACTAATTCTATGTTCAATAAACAAAGGCTTTGGATTGAACAACTGCAAGTGAATATCAACAACACCTTAGCCCAGGTAGTATGGTTAAACATATCAGGTGGCACTCTTACTTATGTTGATAGCTCTTCATCAATAGACCTTACAGACTCACCACAACAACAGCAAAGATCACTTTATGCATCTGACAATTCTTGGTCAACTGAAAAAGGGAAAGAAACTGCCTCAGCTTTAGGTAAATACCCTCCAACCCCAGTTCTGAATGATCTTATTGCAAGAGCTTCTAAAGTTAGCATCTGAACAAGCTCTATCAACAACAGCTTTACAACTATCTCTATGCAATTAGTGATAATTTTCACAGATTTGTGACTATATAAAGTGACATCAAGGAAGGATCCATCTTTTGATTATGTAAAGTTCAAGAACATGCATAATGTTCAAGGGTTTTCAAACCTTCAGGCTGCTAATATATTTATAGTAGGTTAAAAATTAAACAGAGGGTCAAAAGATTATTGAGAGCCTATTATATAAGCCCAGTGTATCAACTAAGCTTTGGAAAGCTGTTGCTTTTAGCTTATATATAAACCTCCAGGATTTCACACAAAAGAACTTACTAAGTAACATAAAAGGAGCTTATAATGATCTTGTTTTGCAGTCTGCTGAAGGTGGTACTATTTCAATAAAGAAGCAGCCAAGACTTGCAGCCTTTATGGATATCTCTGAGTAGTTGCTTGCTTTCAAGTCTTATATAAATGCCATTCTGGTTATCTATTAAAACAGAGAACAGAAGTTGAATTGGTATAGTGGCTATATAAATGAACTGTGTATTAGACAAAATTTTCAAGTAGTAATAGTTTATAATGAGAACCAGAGAATTACATTAGTTACAAATCGAAACTCTGCTCTTGGTGAATGAGATATGAAGGTTGAAGAAAAAAACTTCGATATAACTACAGCAAAAAGACAAAAAAACAATACATATTGTGCTACACGCTTCAATATCAGTTGGTCTGATAAAAAAGAAATATGTATCAACCAGAACAAGCAGTACTGTGCAGATAAAAAGGTCTGTAGAAGAGTTCATATCTGTTTAATCTGCAAAAAAACTAACCACAATGAGCAATGCTGTTTTAAGAAGTTCAACTCAAGGAAAACAAGCCTTACTGATAATAGCAAGATAGAGAAAACACATACAATAAACAACAAATATTTGTTTATACAAGTACTCCAAATTTTTTAAAATTGTTAATATAGCTCAAATACAAATATATATACAAAAGAAATAAAAAAAAATATATATAATAATAATAAAAAATAGAAAAAAAAACAAGTAATGAAAATAATGATTCACTTAGTACACAAGTTCTATATATTCAAAAGAACAATTTCTAATTGAATAATACCATTATACTGCATATAAATGAACAAATAAGATAAGAAAGACTGTCACAAAAAAGAAAAACAAAAAAGAATAAACAATAAAAAAAAAATACATACATATTTGAATGGATGCTGTCTTGATAGCTCTATTAGCATAAGATAGTTTATTTATTGAGTAAACTCCTTAAATATACCATAGGCTAATTATTTTGCTAATTCAGCCCAGCAATTACTATTCAAGCACTTGTCATAGTACAAAGTAGCAAAAGGCATTACAATAAATAAGCCTCTTGTGTTGCAGTTAGTTAAGTATACACTTACTGCTATTTCTCCACAAAGAATACTCTTGAAACAGATATTTTAAAACAGCTTGATCTAGCCACTTTTAATGTCACTACTCCAATTAATTTAAATAACTTTGAGTATCTTACATATAGCCATCCCAATCAACTACTTATAGCCTATCTTTTTGAGGGTTTCAAAAATTGCTTTAGTTTTAATTTCACTGGTTAAAGAACTACAATAATTCAAGAGAATCTTAAGTCAATAGAGACAAATTCTCTATTACTTGCAAGATATATCCAAGAGGAGCTAAAGCTTAGATAAATATATGGTCATTTCTCAATATAACAACTACTATGTCTGGTATTTCAAGTCAACCCATGTGGTCTTGTAGAGAAAAAAAACATGAACCCCAAGATTTACTAGATTATATCACACCTCTCAGCTTCTTTTAGAGCGAGTGTAAATAATAGCATCAACAAAATTTAGTTTTTTACACGATATGAAAATATCAATCATGCTATTCAGTAAATTACTCATTATGGAAAAGGATGTTTGCTTTCTAAAGTGGATATTAAAGATGTTTACAGAATTCTTCCTGTTTATCTAGTTGACTAATTATTGCAAGATCTTATGTTTGAGAGTCAGTTATATTTTGATAAGGCCTTGGTCTTTGGCAATCGAGCCTTTGAAGGCATATTCTGCAGATTTGTAGATATTTTAGTATGGGTGGTGGTACAACAAGACATGCAATCTATAATCTACTATGTGGATAATTTTCTTATTATATTATACACAAATGCTTAGCAAGAGCTTACCGTATAAGCGCGTAATAACGTGCAGGGGCGCATTATTTTGAGCCCCTCCGCGTTATTTCGGGACACGCATGCGCGATAATTCGAATCATTATGCTAATTTTGAAAAAAAATTTTAACTACTTTCTTGAATGATAATATTGTACATATATAGGGCGCATTATTTTGAGACGCGCATGGGCGTTATTTTGAGTCAAATATGGCATTTTTAAAAAAATTGAAAATTCGAAATAACGCCTATGTGTGTTATTACGCGCTTATACAGTAATCAGTTTCTCCATATTCTTAGCATTTTAAATATTTCGTAAAAGCCTTCAAGGCTTGAAGACCCAAGTACTATGATTATATTTTTGGGAATTCAAATAGATACAGAGACACTCTTAGCAACAATTTCTCTGGCCAAAAAGCTTAAATTAGCCACCATGTTAGAGCAATGGTTAGACAAAAAACGGTGTTTCAAAAAAGAGCTTCAGTCTATGGTTAGATCAGTAATATAGGTCTGCCAGGTTCTTCCACAAGGCTGTTCATTTATTAGTGCTTTATCAAGGCTCTTGGTGCAGCAAGTGGCCCTAAATCACATATTAAAATCAATAATGTGATGAGGTCTAACATTAGGTAGTAGGTTGCAATACTTTTAAAATAGTCAGATATATATTTAATGGAGGACCAAAACTGGCTTAGCCTAGCTATGCAAAACCTATTTATTAATTCCTCAAATCTGGGGGTGGCACAGTATATAGATTATACTTTACTTTATTTAGTTGGTCTCAGAATATAAACTTATCCCAATACAGCATTCAAGAGCATGAGCTTCTTACATCACTTGTAGCTATAATAACATTTGTACCTATTTGAACAGAAACAGCTTATTATATGAACTGATAATCAAGCAAATACTGAGGCTGTCTATGCAGGCTTCTGCAAGCAACCTGCAATTAATAATATTATAGTACAAATATATTAGGCCCAAATTTATGGTGGCTTTTCACTCAAGTTTAAGTATATACCTGGCAAAGCAAACTCAAATGCAGACTTATCATCATGAAATAGTTATAGAGAGTTTTTAAGCAAAAATCTCTTGTCATGATATTTACAGCCTGTAATTCTCTCAAAATATGCCCATCTAATATCTACTATACCTTCTCTTACTTAATAAATCAAAACCCTAAAGTTCTCTCCTTATCCGAAACAACAAATGAACAAGTGGACCCACTAACAACACTCTGGCTACTCTCCACTTAACTATTGGACCAACAGGCTGCATCAATACTTGGTCTAAATACAAAAACAAATAAATTATATAAATCTGTAGTAAAGCAATATAAAGCTCTAGCAAGAAACAAGAACTGGCTTAATCAGCAAGACCAGATATAGCCAATAGCAAAGGAACATCTGGTTAAGTTTATCACTCACATGTATGACAAAGTTGTGGCTGCAACTCTTTTATCATATCTATTAGCATTGAAGCACTACTACACAATAAACTATATCAACTAAAATGAAACTCACAAGGACCCACTGGTTAGACAATTACTGTTATATTATATAAAAAAAATAGGAAATTGTTAAATATCACAGGTTGCTATATCGCAGATTAATATGATTGACCAATTAGATCACAGAATCTTGTGTAACAAAAACTAACGAAAAATTAAAAAAATTGCAAAAAATATCAAAAACTTCAAGGGTTTTAAAAAATGGTGCACCATGCACCATGGTGCACCCCTAGCTATATCTCGAAATTTTACTAGGGTAACCCTGTTGTGCGACTAACAAAAAATGATCATTACACTATTTTACCTAACTCTAACCTAAACCCTAACCCTAACCCTAACTAATTATGACTTTATATAAAATATGCTATATCTCAAAATTTTACTAGGGTAACTCCTGTTGTAAACTAAGTAAAAATGCTCCTCTTGCAATTTTATCTAACTCTAACCTAAACCCTAACCCTAACCCTAACTAATATTAACTTAAGAGTTTGCTAGGGGGTGCACTATGTGCATGGGTGCACCAAAATATAATTCTCAAACTTCAAATATCTTGAAATTTCATTAACTAGTCTTGGGCTTCTAATTAAAAGTTTTTAGCACTTAATTTTGAATATATATGTGTTCTCTAACCTTAATCTCAATACTATTTCGCACCCTAACCTAAACTAATAATAATATTAAATTTTTTTTAAATATTAATCTGCGATATCGCAACTTGCTAAATTTAACAAAATCCAAAAAATAATTATCTGATTTCTAATTCTAACTCTAACAAATTTTAGAACTAGTAATAATTACTACTAGTGATATGTAGTAATTTTCTTAAAAAATATATATAAAAAATCACAATTTAAAGAAAAATAAAGCAAATTATTATATTAGTACAATGTCTTTTTTTAAAGATCCAAATATTTTTAATAAAGAATTTAACCTATCTAATATAGAAACTAGTTCATTTGATATTAATGAAGAAACTTCTAAATCTACAGACTCTATTATAGTATTACTTTAAACAACTAATTACAAAATCAATAATAAACTATTAACTACAATATGTAGAAGTTTATACATAAAAAAGTAAATCCACTATTGTTGTATATGACTTTAAGGACTATTAGCAAAAATATAGCCTCAAAAATTCAACAGAGATTTTAGCAGATTATTTTAATAAACAGCCTAATTGTAATATTGCTTTAAACCAAAAATGAAAACTTTTGTTCTCTAAATCATATAGTAAAAGTAATGCTTAACAAATAGAAGAATATATCATGTTTTTATTAAATTTTGTTATTAGTATTCAAGCTCTATTTGCAAAATAATAAGTATACTTGATTTATATTATATTCAATCAACACATAATTATATAAAAACAAATTATGTCTTAGTTTCAAACTCAAAGAGTACTTATTACAAAAAATCTTAGTTATAAAATTGTATTTACTGCAGACATTTGAATCTCATATTTAAATTAGTCATACCTTGGAGTAACTACATATTTTATTAATGATAAATAGAAAATGAACTGATTTTTATTTGATCTTATTTATTTTGAACTTAACTATATAGGTATATATATAAAAGAAAAACTTAACTAGCTTTATAATAATATAAATAATAATAATATTATTATTTTATTAATGATAAATAATTATTCTTCAATGATTATGTGTAGCAATCTATTAAAAAAAGAGCAGAATAAATTTGAGTTCAAACATTATAAGTTAGTATTATATTATTTTTTATATTTTTTTTATTTATTTATCTATATGTTAAAATTTTTTAATTATTTACAATACTATTATAAATAAGCAGCTTATATTCTTAATATTGCTATTAGTTACAAAATGAAACTACAAACAGAATTAATTAAAAAAGTTAGAAGTTTCATAACTAAAGTTTACTATTCTACTATTTTATGCAATAATCTTTACTATTTTTGTACAATAAATAAAAGACAATATATTATATCAAAAATTGAAATATTTACTTAATAGAACAGTATTTATAATATGTTATATCAATTTAAATTAATAAATGCTGAGCTTGATCTTGTTGTAACTAAGTACCAACTTGGACATATGTTTTTAACAATTATGAGTAGAAAAAATTAATATTATTATTAGTTTTCTTTATCCTATACTTCAAGCAACTAAGCTACTTTTATCAAGTTTGTATCTAACAATATCTGATATTTATTTATACTTTGGAGAAATTCTTCAGCATTTTGATAAATTTATTGATGAAAAAATATATTTAGAAAAAGAATATATAATTGCTTCTTGATAAGTCTATTACTATCACTGCAATCCTTAATCTATCTTCAAAACTTACAACACTTTAATATAGTAAAAAAAGAGTTAAAGCTATTGCAAGTTTGTACAATTTAATAATTAATATATGCTACAAAATTTAGCAACAAATACTACTATTTTTGCTTTCAAAAATAAAAAAAGAAAGCTTTTTAAATTTTTATTAGATTAGCAATTAGATAAACCTTAAAAAGAATTAGATTTGTACTTATCTTCACCTTTATGTTTTAAAAATCCTCTTAACTAGTAAGTATTAAATAGATATCAGTTTTCTACTTTAGCAAAAATAGCTTGTAATTATCTAGCTATTCAATAAACTAGTGTTATTTGTAAAGAAACGTTTTTTATTGCAGCAAGAACAATAACAAAAGTTAAAATTTGTTTTTTTTTCTTAAAATAGCTTGTACTTTGCTTTGTATAAAAAGCTGAATAGAACAAAATATTTTTAAATAATATATATTATTAGTTTTTTAAAAAAGTATATTTATATTTATATATAGCTTAGCAATTTTAAGGACATTATATAGCTTAAATAAATTTTTCAAATTCAAAATTGCTGAAATAATCTATATATGCACATCACTCTGGTAATATTAGCAGCTGGACTAACTAACAATTGGTTGTATTAATATTTTTTTTTAAAAAAACCTGCTATTATTATAAATTTACTAGTTATAATAACAATTTTAAAAAGTATTAACTATACTAACATATTAGCAATTTTAATGCTAAAAACTATCTATATTAATTATTTGTGCTATTTATAGCAATATGCTTTTATAAACCAGCTATCATAATACTGTATTTTCCTGAAAATCTCTACCACCTAATTTTGGGTTTATCTATTTAAACATTTTTGATTGGTTACTTGCTGAACAGTGAGTATTATTATAACTATTATATATGTAATATTGATATAAGATTTGCGACATTTCTTTAATCATCTACATATATATAACTTTTGTAACTTTTGCAACATTTTTTGAATGATCATGTGATTATCAAATATGTAGTCATTGCAGTATTCTAAAGTATTATGACATTTTTGATTATTCACATAATTTATGACATTATTGAATATAAAAACTTAATTGACTATAACTAAAATTAATAAAATACCTGTTCATTAGAGTCTATAATTATTACGATATTGTCAATTTGTCAGATTTGAATTTAAACGAATATCAGATAAATATATATGATTCAATTAACTAATAATTTTTTATAAGTTAGAGAAGTAATCTGAAATTCATCAATTTGATATTTTTTCTGTTATTAATTGAGAATGCGATTAAAATATTAAAAACATCAAATCAAATAATGAAATAAAAGATTAATTATCTCTAATAATATAGAGTAATGATGCATATAAATACTTGCGACATGATTATAAAATTAATAATCATATAATTAATTATAAAGTAATAATGTATAAAAATATGAAAATTATATATGTGCCATGATCATAATTATAATTGTAGATATATACTGTAAATTTAAATATAAATATATAGATAGAAGTTGTCTAAAGTCAATTAGATTTAAAATTGTTACTAACAAATTTGTGAATCAGAAAAATAACATGTGATGTGTAAAAATTACTATCTGGCTATTAGATAATTTTTGAAATTTGCTTGATATAAAGATATACTATACTATACTAATCTGTGAAATACTTATCCCAATTTTGCATAAGATTTGCAACATTTTTTTAATTATCTGCATGTAACAATTATAACATTTTTTCAAACAACTATGTGAACATCAAATATATAACAATTGCAACATTTCTGATTATTATGACATTTTTGATTATCCACATGATTCATAATAATATTGAATATAAAATTTAATTAATTATAACTAAAATTGATATTATACCTGTTCTTCAAGTCTATAATTATTAGACATTGTCAATTTGTCAGATTTGCAATTTAATCAAGTAACCACTAAATACTGTATAATTTGATTAACTAATAATCTCTTATATAGTAGAGATGTAATCTAAAATTCCTCTATTTAATATCTTTTTTACTTAGTTGATTATGTGATTAACATTAAAAATATCAAATAATAATGATACAAAAATGTTGAACAATATGCAATTATAAACTAATTGATAAGTTATTAACTAATTGATTAACGATCATTAATATATTTAATTGATACAAAAAATAAATAAATAAATAAAAATTATCTCAATTATGAAGTAATAATGCATATAAGTATCAAAATAAGATTTACACTATGATCATAATCATATTTAAAGATAAAAATAGATAGATAGAAGTCATCTAAAGCTGAGTAAATTAAAAATTTTACTAATGAATTTGAAAAAATAAAAATCGCATGATGCAAATAAAATACTTCCTACTCTAATCAAAATTATTAATGAAAATTATTAATTTAGAACAATATACAATTATTAATCAATCAGTTAATAAAACAATATATATAATGTAGTAAAAAACATATAAAAAGCTATGAATTCTCTTTGAACTTTGTATGTTACCAGAATTATCTACATTACTATTAGTAACTGTATTTTTTATCTAATCTACATTACTAGCAGTAACTATATTTTCTATCTAATCTATATTACTAGCAGTAACTGTATTTCCTATCTAAAATACTACCTCTTTGTGTTCCACTTCTGTGAACTGCAAAAGATATCAAATCAGCTGATACTGCACAAAAGCAAAAATATCAACAAACACAAACTTCAAAAAATAAACTACAAAAATTATATAAAATTGCAATAAACTTTAAAAAAACAACATTATCTAATTGCTGCATTCTCAAATTCTCTAAACTTTGTCCTTACTGTAATGCTAAATTATTATTAGAAGAAATGGAAGTGATTGTTGTAAAAAAGGAAAGATTAAGTAAGTTAAAGATCAATAAAAAAATATATTATTAATACAAACTATATGATTAACATATTATTGATAAAATAACATAGATTAGCTTATACTGAACCTATTACACCCTTAAAGGAATTATATATTAGAAATGATGATGTAGGAGATAAATTTCGCAAAAACATTCATGCTTATAACAGTATTTTTGCTTTCACGTCTATGAGAGTAAAATTAGATAAAGATTTGGCCAGTGGTAAAATATATATATTATTATATTTTTATTATTAATATTATTTGTAAAATTCAGTTAACAAGTTAACTATTGAAAATAGATAAAAATAGAATATATATATTTTGAGTACCTGGTAGAATATACCACTTGATAGGCTCTCTTTTTCCAGAAAATATGATACAAAAATTTCTACAACTATATATTTATGATACTAAGCATAAAATAAATAACTAACTTATTGTAATATCTAATATTCGTGAAAACACTTTAGAATTTATCAAAACAATTCTAGATCAATATAACTTTTTTGTTATCAACTTTTGCTCAATAGCCACTAGTAACAATGTTGATAACCTTCGACTTATTATTAAAGCTGACCATAGTCTAAATCAATGCACATATAATACACTGATAGCTTCACAAATTGTGGCTATTTGGATAGAAGATTATATCCAGTAGGCTTTGTAAAATGAGACATTATTGTAGAATCAAAATCTCAAAGTTTGCAATTTGTTTCTAAAACAAATGATTTATATGACCCAATACAATATATCTTTTTTTTTCCACAGGGTAAATATGATTGCGCAAAAAAAAGTAACTGCCAGGCAATATTATGCATATAAATTACATATTCACCAAAATTCAATGTTATTACTCCATTATGGTGGACAACTCTTTTAACAATATATCATCAACAACTATGTTAAAATTGAATCTGAATGTCTTAATTACCTATGCTTCAATTAAAATAAACTCTGTAAAAAACTTTACCAGGGTTTACATAATTCATATCAATCTGGAATAACAAATACTACTGACATAGGAACTCGAATTATTTTATCTTCATTATTCATAGAAAGTTCTCAAAATATATATTAACAATATCAAGACTCTATGACACTGGTGCAGACATTTGGCAAACCAGATTTATTCATCATAATTACTTGCAATTCTAGGTGGTCAGAAATTTCTTCAGTACTCTTACCGGGACAAACTTCACAAAATAGACTTGATATTACAGGTACAACATTTTACTTAATTGATGATTCTCCAGTCAACTGATGCGTGATCATAGTAAAAAGTAACTCAGATTACTATATAAATTTACTATGGTGCGAATATGGCATTTGCCCAAGGTAAACTTTTTTTATACTAAGTTAATCATCTTTCTTGCTTAAGAGACTTTTGTAAAGCTTGCCAAGACGCATCTAGTGGTAGTTAGAGCATTAAAATCAGCCTGGTGAGTACTGAGATATCTTTAAAAAACCTCTCTTTTACTATGTAAATTTCTTTGCAAACAATAGT